GCTGGACTACCTTTTGTTTCTTTACGTAAGCAACTAATCGAGCTGTTCCCCATCCGACTTTATGGGGAAAGTGGGAAAGTGGGAAAGAGTTGAAGCAAAAGGTTGCTTGTTTTGGTGATATAGACGTCTTAGATTTGATGAGATTGAAACTGAAACCTTCAGTGGAACCATAAGAACAAGTGAAATAAAAGGTAGTCATTTTTCTTTAGTTGAAAAAAAAAAGTTTTTCGTTAAATATATATTATATTGTTTTTTCATAACTTTTACAGAAGAAAAATGATCAATCAATTCACAAACTTGAAGGGGTTAAAGCAAAAAACAAATTTCTTACGACAGTCTTCGGAAAATTATAACATGTTCGTTTTCATTATGTTAACAAAATATTTAAATTTCAGGAACCTTAGAGTCACAGTTTTTCAGAAAAAAAATAGCAAACTTAGAATCTTATACACAAGCTCTTAGAACGTTATCGCAACATTTAAATTTTCACCAATAACTCGAAAAATATTTTTACAAACCTTTCAAAAAAAGTAGTATGTTATTTTGAATAACAACTAGAATAACATACCCAAATTTGAGGAAGCCTGCCATCATGGTTTGAGATACACTCCAATCAAAAGTTTGAACGAAATGCTATTGGTATATCTATTTACAGCGGACAATAAAACATCGCGCATAAATTCCATTTTTAAGTATGAATTTTTTATTTTCTCACTTTTTTGTAACCTTTTGCTGTACGATATGGAATAGCTCGCATGATTCATCAAGAATTATTATAAAATACANAATAAGACTTAATATGTAGGGTTGCTAAACTTCGCCTTTTCTCGAAATTCAGAGTGCGCAGAAATGAAGATTTAGGGAGAGAAAATTGTACATGACTTGATTAAATTGCTCTACATACATGTACATGCATAATGTTATATTTTACTCCAAAACTATAAATGCTGAACAATCATTTATAAATCGCCCAGCCTGTTAAGTGACGACTTGCGTAACAACAATTTTTTATTTAAACTAACTTTTGAGAATTACTATACTGCTCTAACCCCCTTAAGATACCCATAAGATTGATGATGATTTAATTCTCAAATGGAAAACTACATTAAAACAACGTAAGTTGCTTTATAAAAGTTCAAGTTTTGCTAAAATATTCATCGTTAATCCATGCTTAAACCCATCTCTTGGATATATGTTGCTAAGTTTGTTTTCACTAATTTCAAGATTAATTTTTTACATGAAAAATCAAGATTCAATTTATACATTTTTTGCATATTGTGCATGGTGCTTACACAGAAAATTTTGATAAAAATTGGGATACCACAGCAAATGTAGTTATATTACTCACAACAGACCGTTCTTGTCTTGGCATCTACATGTTGTTTAATCCTGACGAGGCCGTCGATATGATGGCATAATATTGATTTTGTGTAAATAATTATTTAAATAAACAGTCATGCTTCATAATACTAAATTGTTAATCCACATTCACTATTCATGACGACTAAGGAGCAAGTGAAAGAAGTTCATAGATATTTGTTTTTATTATTATCATTAGGCACTAAAAACCATCCATCTATAACTGCCTATTTTAATAAATGTAAGTGGAAATTATATTGTTACCGTCCAGTGTATTACTTTATCAATTATTAATTATAAATACAATTATTATTCCTAAAATTCAATCGTTTCACATAAATTTGATTTTTAAATGTCACGCACAGCTCCGATTTTAAAACTTTGCACTTGATAGTACTGCCTATCGCCTACTAGGTGGCAACTCCTAGTTTCTGGCAAACATCGCAAGTGAGAAAGTTGCTTATAGTACATAAGAAGGGCTACGCGGCTTCTCGAAATCATCCTTCCGGATCAGTTGATCTAAGCCAAAGCTAGGTTCTCGCTCACCCGACGAGACCTACGGTACGGCAGTGGCTAAGAGCACTAATTAATTTGAATAAAATACCTATATTTAATACCACGTTAAACTAAGTGTGTTGACTCTTACTCTATCCACTTATCATTATCTACACTCCGTGGCACTGTTATCCAACTACTGTAAGGATCGGACAAATATTCGAAGCTCTTTTGCGCTAATAGTCGCGTCTCACATAATATACTGGCTACAGACCCATCTCGACCGCTGTGAGTCACTGCCAAACTATCTACCAACGATACTAGCTCCAGCGATGGCATCAGAATCCATCAGAAGCACTACCTCTCCGCATCTGTAGTCTCTAGCACAGGGTGTTTACTGCTGCTCGATCCTGACTGCCAAAGTCCCCATCAGTGACACCAGCTCCAGCGGTGGCATCATAATCCAGAAAAAGCACTGCCTCACTACGCTTAGAGTCTCCAATCCAGGGTTCTTTCCGTTGATTCATTTCTACGGCCAATTCGACACCCTTGGAGAGGATTCTCGCCCACCCCAACTCCCTTTCGCCGTTTTAAGCCGCCCACTCTAATAGGCCGCTTGTCGATATCATTAAAACTAAATAGGACCAATTTTCAAGCTATTATTTTTATTACTAGGTACTCTGGCTTGTTTTATCTCTTATCACTTGTGCCTTTTCTAAGCAACGTCATAAAATCGAAAGAGGGTGTAATAGTAAATTGAAATGAAAAATTTTATTGTTTTTTGATACACAAACTCGTAATTTTTAATATTTCTAAGAAATATTTCGTTAAACACTCTTATGTTTAAGAAATTGATTTATTATGTATTTACACCTTTTTAGGATTTTAATGAGGAAAACGAGGAAGCTATTTTCAAAGCGTCAAACCATACTTAAAAAACATTTATGAATGATCGTTTGAACCCGAGATTATGCCCTATATTTTTTGTGGTGGATCTTATCGCTACCTAAAGTAAATAAATGCTGCTAATTTTCTATGGATTGTATAATAACCGCTGAAGACACCGCTACAAACCACTGAAAATAATTAAATGTAAAAATGTTCGGTATTGTAAAAACATTTTTCAGTTCTCAAACATATATGTGTATAAGTTATCTAGTGAAACTTTGTCTTCAAACCATTTAGAGGATGAAAACTGTAAAATGCCAAAAGAACTCTAAGAACCCTAAAAATAACTTATTTTTCAAAGTTAGAGGTATTTGCGGGTACAAAGCCATAAGTTAGAAATTCTTATTAGTCATTAGAAAAATAATACTATGTAAAAATTAAAAAAATTTTTTTTCTTAAAATTGGGTTTAAAAATTCTAATAAACATTTAGTTCAGCATTATACACATCATTAAGTTAGTATTGTAACAAAAAAGGTAAATTTTTTTATTCTTAATTTTCAAATCTTATTACTAAAAAAAATATTCTCAAACATGTCTTCAAGAGCAAAAATCGATTTTGAGATTTAAAAACTATATTTGACGTTGTATAATATCTTAATTTTATCTCGAAGTACTGTTCAAAACATAACAATTATTTTTAATAAGTTTATATCTGAAAGTGTAATCCAATTATGAAATAAACTCATCGAAGTAGAGTTAAATACCCTTGTTAACAAAACGGTAACTGATAAGGTGAAGAGTATAACTGAAGATTACAGTGATATATTCCATGATTTTTCAATAGAATACAGAAGAATAAAATACTTTCTAAATTTTTACAATTATATTCCACTAAAAGCAATTACAACCAGTGTAGAAACCGTCACTTACCATTCAGTTGCAAAAATTTCAGATATAAACGTTACGTACATACCATTTCAAGAAACCTGAAATCTCTTGTTAGAGTGATTAAGAAAGCTTGTAGCTTTATGGAAAGTTTGAAATATGAAGAAATTATAGTGAGCAACAGAATGCAAGCCGAAATGTGGACAAATAAATATCTGAAGCTCTGCAGTGGTTTGTTTTGTAATGTCCGTTTCTACCGCCAAATTTAGTCGTTAAACTCAATGCCATTATTTTTACCATCTTATTTGGAGATGCGCAAAAAGTTTTTGAATAAGCTTCTGTTTCTCAATTTAGTAACGACTTAAACCTTTTATGACTAAATATGATGTTTACTTACATCTTTGTACGAATTTTTCTTTTAATTAATAGAAATAATGACAAATAGTATACAAAATTACTAAGGTTATTGTTTTTTATTACGAAATTTGTGTTACTTGTTGTACAAAGATTGTAATTTGCTCTGGCCCCACTAGCTCCCTCTCTTCGAGCTGTTACAGCTTAGCACTGTGTCAAATTGTACAAACACAAACATTGGACTACGATAGCCTCATCGCATTAAACTGAATTAGCTTAGTAAATGTACGAGCTTTAATCGTTCAAATTTTCTTTCCGTGTAGTTTTGGAGATCACTAAATAGAACTTACAAAAAAAAAATTATTGCAGCAAAAAGAATTTACGGACTTGAGGAGAATATATGTGACAATAACTTGAAAAGAAGAAAGATGAATAAATTTTTTGGTCTGAAATTTTATGTTGCATGGGGCCGAAACTTGGTATTTCAAAGATAGAAAGGAATTGGAAAAGATTTAGTTATATTATTTTAGGTAAGTGTTGAAGCTGGACTTTTATTCACCACTATACATAGTTTGTAAGGAGCCCGTCAGAGAAAAATTATGTAGTACATGGCGTCAAGATACGAAGTTTCAAAGAAAGATTACTTAAAACTTGTCACAGAGAAACATACGGGATTAGGGAGTGTAATTTACACAGTGCAAAAAGAGAAACTTTTGTAATAACGAAGGTCTAAGTACGATGATTGTTAATCTAGAATTCAAATTCAACTCATGATAGTGTTTCGCAAATCATTCGAAGGATAAAAATTATATCCTAGTATTAGATAGGAAAATTAGAAACTCTTAATATAATGACATATTTTTGTCCCAACTCAATATTTGTCCCAGTAATTTGATAACATGTAGTTGAAATGAGTGGAACCACAGGACCATTTGAGTAATTTATTTTTATTCCATGTAAACTAAGTCATATTTCTAGGTTAACAGGCTAAATATATTGTTAGTATAAATATTACAGTTTATAACTGATCTTTTTTGAACAGAATAGTCTCAACTACCTATAAACCAGGTCAAATTTTAGATGAGTGTAGTACTTATTTAAAGTTTTAAGAGTTTCTCAGTATTCGAATCATGCTTATCCATCTGATTAAGATAGAATGTTGTAATTGTTCAACTGTATAGTGATTTTGCAATAATTAGAAAACATATGTATAACGGTAGTTAAGATTGAAACCAAGCTGAATATTTTGAGCTAACACCAATTTTTTTGCCGTTGTCCGATGTTTAAATGTACACGTATACTCAGAGTTTGTTTTACTGTAGTAAAAATTGACTAAGTCATAATTAATATACTTTGGCATACAAAAATATTTTCATGTAACAAAACATTCCAATTAGATCGAATAACGTCAACTAAGCGAAATAGAAGGTGCTGTCACGAAATTTCTAGGTTAAAATACGACTACTTTAACTTATAACTAAATCAATAAAACCCCACTTATCCACTCGATGATTTAAGCATAATTATTTCCATCGTGAGTATGTGTGCAATTGTATTGCACCTACACGTGCATACACAATTCCGCCATAGCAAGTAAGTTCGACGTCTGTTGAAATTCATACTTGGTCCCTCTATTAAAACCATGCAGTATTATTACGTATTATTATAACGGTGGTAAGGTTGACATAGTAAGTTGTCAAATGAGTATGTATGTTTAATCGGAAGCCAACAATTAATCAATTTAATTATTTTAAACTTCTTAATTTAAATCAATCAATTTACCTGAATTCATTAATTTATTATTCATGTATGATTGAAAATACATGCTAATCTTTCAATCTACCATGTTATAACACGACTTAGTTTTCCTTTTTATCGAACTCCACACTTTATAACAGAGGTTAAACTTATTTTGAAATGGACAAAATTCATATGCATGCAATTCATATGGTGCAGTATAATAACTACTACTAATATGCGGCATACTAATAAATAATTATGCTCAAATAATCAAGTGGAGAGTTGAAGTTTGATTAATCGAATTCTATGAATAGATAAGCAAGTAGTTTCAAGAGTTAAGATTAATTAGTTGATTACTTAGATTGATTTTAACTTAGATTCATAAGACGTGGTTCCACAAATTTTGAAAGTATAAACAATTAATCAATCTGTATTACCGTGCAGCTTTTTTTCAATGTTACACAAGTATTTAAAATTTTTAAAGATTTTAAATGACTTTAGGGGTAGTATAAGAAATAGTAAATACGCTATAAGGATGCACAGATACTTTTGGCCATGACAACGTTTAGCCTATATTCTGCAGACAAACTACTAATGAACTGATTTAGCTTAAGACGTTTTATAAAGTGCTTACTTACCTGTGGAGGGTATAAATTGAGCGTGCATTCAGTGCAAGCATTTATTCCTGGAAATATTACTCTAACACTTCCTTTAAATCCTTCTGTGCCTCCATCAATGCAGGGTATAATACTAGACTCATCCAGTACACCATCTTCATAATTTAATAATGAAGTGAGCATACCATTAATCCATCTTCGTGCAACAATAGAATCTAGACCACAAATAACTAAGTGAAACTGACGGTAAAAATCATCATTTTTATCTTGAATTTTACAACAGTGTGGCGTCACATCGCAATCAGGCATACGTTGATTTATAAACTTAGCTGCTATTTCCGACTTTGAAAAACCTATATCCTTATGTCTAAATAAAAATTGCCTGAAAAAGATTCATCGTAATTAAAATTTTGTCTATACAAAATTTCGGCATAGATTATATTTTTTGAATAACTGATCATTAAATAGGCCAATGTTCAGTAACCTATAACACTTGTTTTACCACTATTTCCTTGAACTATTTTCATATTAATTATAATTTGCAATCATGACTGAAAAATACTCATCGTACATCTAAATACGAGTGAATACGATCAAACAATTTGTGTCTTTTCTCAAAACATTTAAAATACTGTAAGGAATCATATAATAGTGTTATTTGTTATCAAGCGTTGAATATTGCATGAGATATTACGAAAACTTATCAATTTGCATTGTGTATTTTATTTAATTTTATTTTTTTTATGAACTAATTATTTTCATATTATTATTCCTTAACTTTGGACTTTTCTGAAATAATCCAATTTTTAATTCAGGTTATCTTTTAATTAATAGAAATAATGACAAATAGTATACAAAATTACTAAGGTTATTGTTTTTTATTACGAAATTTGTGTTACTTGTTGTACAAAGATTGTAATTTGCTCTGGCCCCACTAGCTCCCTCTCTTCGAGCTGTTACAGCTTAGCACTGTGTCAAATTGTACAAACACAAACATTGGACTACGATAGCCTCATCGCATTAAACTGAATTAGCTTAGTAAATGTACGAGCTTTAATCGTTCAAATTTTCTTTCCGTGTAGTTTTGGAGATCACTAAATAGAACTTACAAAAAAAAAATTATTGCAGCAAAAAGAATTTACGGACTTGAGGAGAATATATGTGACAATAACTTGAAAAGAAGAAAGATGAATAAATTTTTTGGTCTGAAATTTTATGTTGCATGGGGCCGAAACTTGGTATTTCAAAGATAGAAAGGAATTGGAAAAGATTTAGTTATATTATTTTAGGTAAGTGTTGAAGCTGGACTTTTATTCACCACTATACATAGTTTGTAAGGAGCCCGTCAGAGAAAAATTATGTAGTACATGGCGTCAAGATACGAAGTTTCAAAGAAAGATTACTTAAAACTTGTCACAGAGAAACATACGGGATTAGGGAGTGTAATTTACACAGTGCAAAAAGAGAAACTTTTGTAATAACGAAGGTCTAAGTACGATGATTGTTAATCTAGAATTCAAATTCAACTCATGATAGTGTTTCGCAAATCATTCGAAGGATAAAAATTATATCCTAGTATTAGATAGGAAAATTAGAAACTCTTAATATAATGACATATTTTTGTCCCAACTCAATATTTGTCCCAGTAATTTGATAACATGTAGTTGAAATGAGTGGAACCACAGGACCATTTGAGTAATTTATTTTTATTCCATGTAAACTAAGTCATATTTCTAGGTTAACAGGCTAAATATATTGTTAGTATAAATATTACAGTTTATAACTGATCTTTTTTGAACAGAATAGTCTCAACTACCTATAAACCAGGTCAAATTTTAGATGAGTGTAGTACTTATTTAAAGTTTTAAGAGTTTCTCAGTATTCGAATCATGCTTATCNATGATGAAATTAAGATATTATTATTGTAATTTCTATTGATGCAGAAAATAAAGTTATTTTCAAAAAGCTTCGTAAAAATAACACATTATTATATCAAGGCAATATAACACATGTCATGTTTTCTGATGCATTGATAAGAATAAAAAGCATGTTTAACTCTAAGTCTACATACATAAATGTATGATAAGGGAAAATGATATTAACTTTGACTACATTTTAACTTTCCAGACCTTACGTGCATTAGAATCATTTATATCTTGGTCAAAATCAATTTCGATTGACAAAATAGCTAAATTACTAAACCGTATGGAACTTATCATAGACATCAAATCGTTTTTTATTGAGTTATAATAATTTATAAACTCCTTTCACGTGCTCGTTTGTCATCATAAACTATATAAAGAACACAACTTCGTATTACGGAGCATGACTATTTATTCATATAATCTTTTATACATATTAAATATTTAGCTCCTATATGATACTAACAGCCTTTCCAGGATTAGAGATCATATAGATGCCAAGACAACACGCTGAAGGGACACCAACGGCGCCTTGAATTTCATCCACACGTTACAGTAACTTAACTTATTTACAAAAGAAGTCATGTTTTCAAAATTCAAATACATGATAATCAGAAAAATTCAGTCTCAACAGTCATCTACCTCGTTTTCGTACCTACATGATCTCTAATCTTGGACAGCCAGATATTGAATACGTATAAATTATTATATGAATAAATAGTCATGCTCCGTAATACCAAGTTGGGTTCTTAGGATGAGTTTTTTATTGACTTTAATTTGGCGAAGCTACACTCACATGCAGCAACGCTGATTGCTATGGTCATATAAGTCGAGTAAATCCTAGCAGCTTAAGTGATCTGCTACTTATATTAATGCTGGATTTACTCCCACTAGGAATAATGAATGATTACAATCTGCAACAAATGGGGTATTTATGTTAACTGCCTTAGTATGCATTTGTACACCATTTGCAGTCCATCGCTGTCAATTTAATCCAAAATCATTTTAGCACGTTTAACGTCAGAACCAAGAAAGCGAATAAAAGATTAGGTCACTTGCACTTTGGTGTGATTAAGTTCCACATAGCGCAGTACTTGGCTAGTCCCGTCCTTGTGTAAGCAATCTGGTGTACTGTATCATATATAATAGTGAAACACTAAGATTCATTCACTTCACCAAGAATTTTTTTTCGAACATGATTCTCCATACAGCTTGTAAATTCAATCTAAATTTCAGGTGATAGGTGAGATACACTCACTTTTTTTTGCAACTACATCTGTCAAGTGTTCACGGAAACTGAATCATACTTGGTAAGAAGATGGACAAATTCTGTAAGTTGCCCTAACTCCCAGTGTTGTTTTCATTTACAACTCATCTATGTATTAACAAAGCCAGATTTGGTTTTACTTTTTGTCTGATTATATCCAGCATCCTGACAAGCACTTGCCTCTACTTTTGTTCTTTTTTCACAATCATAATTTATGTTGATGTATTAATCGTTACACTAACTTAAGTCTCATAATATGTTAGCGTTGCCATTTTTCAAATTTTCGATATGTACTAAACTTCATTTGTGTTTTTAAACTTTAGGATTAAGTTCCTATAACTTTTTGAGATAATTAATAGAATAAAATCCAGATTTATGTAACAATTACCCCTAACACTTCACAGAAAAATATGAAACTATTTTTTTTTAAAGGAAAACAAGCCATCCATGTTTCTACCACTTTTCGGCCATTCAGCACAATCTAAAGAAATTAACCACAGCTAAAGTTTCCATTAATCTCGTGACTCAGGACGAATTACATCATCAAATTTTCAATTAAGGCACTGTACTGTTTGACATCCTCGAGTAAGTAACAGTGAAAACTAGAAAAGTATCTGTGATCAGGATGCATTTCTAGGGGGAGGTGGAGGGGAGTTGGGGGGTTAGCGAAAATTTAGGATTACTCGAAATATACAAGAAAATGAAAGAAAAACCACCTTATTTGGGGGGAAGCGGGGGGTAGGTGGGAANTGAAAACTAGAAAAGTATCTGTGATCAGGATGCATTTCTAGGGGGAGGTGGAGGGGAGTTGGGGGGTTAGCGAAAATTTAGGATTACTCGAAATATACAAGAAAATGAAAGAAAAACCACCTTATTTGGGGGGAAGCGGGGGGTAGGTGGGAAGGAGCTGGGGAGGGGGTGAAAAACCTCGCCTTAAACTCTTACAACTACATAATATAGAAAGATATATATGTTTGATGTTTATTATCAATTAGTATATTTTTTGAATATATTATTAATTTATGTGTATATTTATGTACATTACCTCAATTTAAAGAGCCCGTCTGTTTATTACATATTCCTGCAAGCAAATTCGGAATATAAAGTAGTTATACACAGCTGACAAAATACATCTATAGAAAAGAAGTAGTAGATCTTGGTGAACAATAATTAAAGATAGACAAAAATAATAGAACAATATCTATATTTCACTGTAACGTTTCGTCCGAATTCCCCGATTCTCTACTATATTTAAAAGACACGTGAGCTTCCCACTAAAATTTAAAATGAACGGCAAGCAGTAATTATATTTGTAAGTAGCGTAAATAAAAAGTCGATAACATTTATATAGTTATGAATATTTACAACTATTTACATATTTATAAACATACTTTTTTTTTAATTTTTTTCAGCCATTCTAACGAACTGTGCGTACAACAGTTCTGCATATATATGCTATCTGGAAATACGCACTTAAGAAATGAGTTTTTCAGAGGTGCGAGCCAAGTAACTAAAGGCAAAATCTCGAACTCATAATCATGTATTACTAAGCCCCCAAACTACAAGAACCGCAGCTTAAGCCACTGGTGCTACCGTAGCTGCTATATGAATATACCTATACACACATTCATAAACGANTTGTAACATGTATACAGAGCTATTATATTACGATAAATTTTGTTACAAAATTACAGATTCTTTACTCTGAAAAATTGAAGATGAAACGTTTTTCAGAAAAAAGTATCATCATGAAAAAAATACATCATGTCATGTATTACTGTTAAACGATGACATAGTTATGAATATAAAAACTTTTCATTGAATGCCATAAATTTTGTCGATTGGTGAAAAGTCATTATTCATCTATGAAAATTATTAAGTAAAGTCAATTAATTGTATGTAATTTCTTTCCAAACAATATTCTCTATTTCTGTATTTTCTTCTCTTTGTACTTACGTAAATTAATTATTTTTATTTTTGCATCTTGATATAGCCACATATAACTGACCATGAGAAAATAGGGGTTTTCTTACATAAAAACCTACATTATCGAAACTTTTACCTTCAGATTTGTTTATTGTCATAGCAAACGCCACAAACATTGGAAATTGTTTACAATACGAAATACAAGGTAATGTTGAAGTGTTTCCTGTGACTGAAGTTCTTCTTGGAATGAAGACTCTATTTCTAATT